TTTTTTTTTTTTTTTTGTGGTACGCGGGCCTCTCACTGGCGTGGCCTCTCCCGTTGCGGAGCACAGCCTCTGGACATGCAGGCTCAGTGGCCATGGCTCATGGGCCTAGCCGCTCCGTGGCATGTGGGGTCTTCCTGGACTGGGGCACGAACCTGTGTCCCCTGCATCGGCAGGCGGACTCCCAACCACTGTGGCACCAGGGAAGCCCCTAGCAGTCACTTTTGAATTCTTTAGTTGTTTTATTTCAGGAAGCCTTTAATGACTCAAATACACCTATAGGCTGTTGTGTTTATATAGAAAACATTGTTAAAACTTTTTTACTTTCATAGGGAATTTTAGGCAAGGATCATAAGCATGTGGACAAATCTGGATATAATTTTACTAAACAAGGGAATTCCCTGGAGGTCCAGTGGTTAGGACTCCCTGCTTCCACTGCAGGGGGCACAGTTTCAATCCCTGGTTGGGGAACTAAGATACCGCATGCCTCGCAGCATGGCCAAAATAAATAAATAAACAAAAGAACAAGAAAATATTCTGTGTGCTAGGGTTTGAATTCCTTTGTTTTCTTAACCAGAAACTTGTCACTGATGCCAAGTGTTCTGATTTCAGCCTAGATAATTTCATATTGTTTATATCATGATAATGATTGTTCTACTTTTAGAATAGACTTGAAATTCAATATATACTTAGAGATATGACATTAAGATCATTTATAAAAGCTTTTACTGTTTTGTTTTCCCATCTCTAGATTTGTGTCCGCTACTTTCAAACATGTGGTAATATTCATGTTTTGAAACCAAACTATGTGTCTTTCTTTGGTTATCCTTCATTCAAGTATAGTCATCCACATCAGCTGCTGAAAACAACTGCTGGTAAGTATAATCTCAGAATAGTCTGTACAGCATAATGTTTTATATTTATTCAGTAACTGAACACTTATCAAAGTAAAAAAGTTGACCTTTTACTTCTAGCCTGGCCCTCCTTGCTCTCCCCACATCTATCCAGTTCTCATTTTCTTTTTTTTTATACCCACTCCCCTTTCACATACTTTCCCTTAATACTTGTGTCTTCATAATGCTGGGACTGGGTTCTCTTGGGCCCTCTGTTCTTTATCATATGACTTACCAAAGTGCAACAGTCAGCATTGATATGACTTAGATTAAATTGTTGACTTAGTAGATTGTATCCTTGTACTCACTGTATTTTGGATGAAGCACTTAATCTGTCATGTTAAGATAGTGTGATGAGGTGCTTGTGTAAATAGAAAGTTCTCTGGCTTTTACCACTTAATTACCTTTCCAACTTTTTCTGCCTTGCAAAGAACTTGAGATTTAAGTATTAGATTTGGCAAAAGCACTAAAACTTTTTTTTTCCTGATGTTCTATTTAGAACCCTGGTAAAGAACCCTAGACTTCCGTTACAGCGTTAAGCTTTTGAGAGATACTTAGTGCCTTAGTCTGTGCTAGTGATGAAAAATAACGGAATTCCAGGTGGATCCAACCCCTGAGATCAATTAGTCCTTCCATGCCTTGTATATGTCTTCTTCTGCATCACCCTAAGATATGTAAACCTTATCTTCACCATTAAAAAAAAAAAAAGGATTTCTATTTTCAAAAGTTGATCTTTTCTCTTTACTTCTCAGAGAAAATAGAGGCCATTCAAGCAGAAACTCCAACTTCCTACCCTAGTCTCTAAACACTTAAGGAGTTTTGGGTTACTAGCTGTGTAACCTTACGCAAGTTACTTAATTTCTCTCTGTTTCATCATTTGGAAAATGGGAGTAACATAGTATCCAACTTTGTATTCTTGTGAGAGCAAATCCATTCAACACAGGTAACTGACTGATCACCAACTCCGGCCAAGGCACTGCTCTACATACTTGGGATACATCTTCTTCCAGTTCTTCCCTAACTCAGTAAACAGGCTAGAAACCTGAAGCCATCTCGATACTTGTCTCACATCATGTTGATTACCAAGATATAGTAATATTACATCTTAAATGTTTCTTAAATCTGTTTTCGCCTTTTCAGACAGCTTTGAAAATATGTAAATATATTAAGTTCTATACTTCAGTTTCTTACCTACAATAGCCTCCTAACTGCTTTCTCTGCCACCCCTCCCCCAGTCCTTTCCATCACACTCCTGCCAGAGATATTTTTATCTAAAATTATAGATATAAAGTTATAGGTCTGAAATTGTAGATGGGACTCCTATCAGCCAATTATTGCTGAATAATAACCTTCCCCACAACTTACTGGTTTAAAGGAACAATGATTTATTGTTCCTCAGGATTCTGGGGGTGGGTTGGTTGGGTGGCTCCTCTGCTGGTTTCACCTGGGCTCACTAATGTGACTGGATTCAGCTACAAGGTCATCTGCTGATTTCACCTGGGCTCACTAATGTGACTGGATTCAGCTACAAGGTCATCTGCTGATTTCACCTGGGCTCACTAATGTGACTGGATTCAGCTACAGGTCATCTGCTGGTTTCACCTGGGCTCACTAATGTGACTGGATTCAGCTACAAGGTCATCTGGGTCGGAAGGTCCAAGTTGGTCTTACGCATATGTCTGACAGTTGGTGCTGGTTTTTAGCTGGGGCATCTCATTTCTCCTCCATGTAGTGTCTCTCATTCTCCAGTAGACTAGAACAGCTTCCTTACATGGTGATCTCAAGGCACATTCCAAGAGGGAGAAAGTGGAGGCTTCGAGGTCCTGTGAGGCTTGCGCTCCAGAACCTACAACTTTACTTCTGCTGTACTCTATTGGTCAAAACAAGTCATAGGCCGGCGTAGATTTAACTAGTGGTAAGATAAACTGTACCTCTAATGGGAACAGCTGCAAAGAATTAATGACCATAATTATTTACCACTGGTTCCTAATTACTTCTAGGATATGTTCCAAACGCCTCACCTCATCATGGCACAAAGCCTTAAATCTGGGCTGATTTCTTGCCACGTAGCCTATCCTCAGCTGTACGGAAGTGTTTGTCATTCCTTAACCATGCTGCATGCTATCATATTCCCGTGCCCTTTCACATGCTGTTCCTTGCATAATATTGCTTCATATAGAGGTGCCATGGTGTACTTACTTGCCATTTTTGATTACTTCAGTTGGTTTCCAATTCTTTATTATAACTCTATGATAACTATTCCTGAGCAGAAATCTTCGTGTACCTCTCTATTTCTTCAAGGAAAAAAAAATCTTAAAAGTAAAATTACCTATGGAGTCAAAGAAACAGACTTTTTTTTTTTTTTTAAGGTTTTTGATTCTTAATGCCAAACTATTTTTCAGAAAGGTTCCAGTTTATACTCTGAGCAGCAGGCTGTGAGAGGCCCCACTTACTAGAGAGGAAACAAGAGGTGCTTAAGACCTCCATATCAAAAGTGTATTTCGTATTTCTTAACTACTAATCTCCTCATAATTATTAAAGAAAAATTTCCTACCTTAATCAGCTTGTTGTATATTTTATAAGCAATTTTGATTAATAGTAGTTTAAAGATAGAGGAGCGCTCTTCAGTCACTTCAGAGCCATTTGCTAATTTGGAAAAGTGAGAGGATCCATACATACTTTCTGTCTTGGGAATAATTACCATAAATTATCATTGGCATCTAAGTGTTATAAATAGGGTGCAGAAATTTGAAAAGGAGTAAAAAATGCTAAGAAAAAATAGAAGACTAAAATTTAAGAAGTTGGTAGAACATCATTTGAGCGAATAAGAATTTTCCAAGTCTTCTAGGTATAGATCTGCCTGATGTTTAGACACTGGGAATGAGAAGAGTTGTATGAAGTCAAAAGAGATTTAAGAGCAGGCCATTGATGTTTATTATAGTTTCATAACATGAAACAGGGAGATCCAGCTGAACCTCCCTTTGTCTAATATCTTGTTCTGTTTTCTGTTCATTGCTATTATTGCAAAATCTCATTTGTTGGAAGGGCCTCCTATACCCTTGTAAAAGAACATTATTTTGGAAATTGGAAAATGTCAGTTCTGTGGCAATACCAATAGGTCTGTGTCACTGAATAATTTATATAAATCTTGGGTGGTTATGAATAATGAGATTATAAACGTTATAAAATGCTTTTTAAAATCTATAAAAATGGAATAATTCCAATTTAAAATCTATAAAAATGGAATAATAAAAATAATAAAATATTTTCTAATTTTAGATGTCAAAGCATCTGTCTATTAACAATACATTACATATTTAATGAGATCATTTCTCATTTGTCTTCGAAGCTCTACAGGGACAGATTGTTCAGTTCAAACTCTCAGACATTGGTGAAGGGATTAGAGAAGTAACTGTTAAAGAATGGTAAGTTATTCTGAAAAATTTTTTAAGTAAGTATAAAAATAATTTGAGTAAAAATAAGTAGAAATCTATTTAAATTGAGACATCTCTTTCTGTAACATATAATGATTTTTTTAAATCAATAAGGTAATCTAGTTTGTGTTGCCAATATGCTGGTGGCACAATTCATCCTACAGTATGGCATTTTATTCAATGTAATTTATTAAGGATTATTTTTTCCTCATTTAAAAAATTTTTTCACTACCCACCCCTCACTTCAGCTAAAAAAGAGAAATTTGCCTCTAAAAGATATTAAGTTGATATGACCATGTGTTTTGAAAAGCATTTAATGTATGAACTTAGAGCTTTTTTCCAAACTATTTAAAAATAATCATGTAGTCTAAGGTCTCTTTACCGAAAGTGACTTCAGTAAGAATGCAAGTACATTTGACTCACCATTACCTGAGAGTTTGCCTATATTTTTAGAAAAGGTTACAATATTAAACCAAAAGGCATGAATCAAAAAATAATTTTTGAAAGGTTAAAAAAAATGTTAAGAAAAAAGGCTTGAAACAAAAATTAAAAAGCTCTTTACTTAGTCAACCTTCTATCTCTTTTCTTTCTTTCTGGAAAAAAAGGAAACACCTCTGGGTACTGAAATAATTTTCAAAGATTTCTAGAAGTAACAGTTAAGGTGAGTCAGTAGATTCTCTCCCACAATTGTATACTGTTAAAGATCCTTTCAAAAATCTGATTCAGCCACCTGAACATTGTTTCCCTGCAGTTCTCATTATAATTGCTTTGTAGGTTAGAAGAGGACTATAATAACATAAATGTACTTTATGATTTTGTATCTATTGCATTGTGGGATCAAGGAAAGAGCAATGACCTCAGGTCAGAAGAACCTGAATCTGAAACTTATTAGGCATCTTAGAAACAAAGACTAAGAACTCAAACTAAAATTCATGAAATTAAAAAGGAATTATATTGAGGATATCAATTTTTTAAATTTAATTCTAGGGCTTCCCTGGTGGTGCAGTGGTTGAGAGTCCGCCTGCCGATGCAGGGGACACGGATTCGTGCCCCGGTCCGGGAAGATTCCCACATGCCGCCGAGCGGCTGGGCCCGTGAGCCATGGCCGCTGAGCCTGCGCGTCCAGAGCCTGCCAGCTAAGAACGGGTTTTACATTTTTAAGTGGCTGGGGAAAAAAAAAAAAGAAGGCTAATATATTGTGATACATGAAAATTGTATTAAATTTAAATTTCAGGGGAGTTCCCTGGCAGTCCAGTGGTTAGGACTCAGTGCTTTCACTGCCGTGGGCCTAAGGTTCAATCCCTGGCTGGGGAACTAAGACCCCACAAGCCATGTGGCTCCGCCAAAAAAAAAAAAAAAAAAAAAAAAAAATTTAATTCTAGAAATAATAGGCATTATTAAAATTTGATAAAGCCTAAGACAATAAAAGGAAATAACACTTTTAAAATACATTTTTCATATTTGAGGCAGAAAACCTGACAAATTAATTAAATTTTTGGATTATAGATCTATGAATTTTTAATTATTTTGAAATTTTTTATATTTCTTGAAGAGGCATCAAAGAGCCTCTGGAAGCCACTGTAGTCTCTTCTAAAACATTCTTTGGTATACTATCTGGGACCAAATGCTGGGCTCAATGGATACTGATCTAATTCAGTGTAGCATTTATATTGTTAAGATGATCTGTATTATCATTGCTCATGTAAAAGTGTCTTGCATCTTTTTCTTTTAGGTATGTAAAAGAAGGAGATACAGTGTCTCAGTTTGATAGCATCTGTGAAGTTCAAAGTGATAAAGCTTCTGTTACTATCACTAGTCGTTACGATGGAGTCATTAAAAAACTATATTATAATCTAGATGATACTGCCTACGTGGGAAAGCCATTAGTAGACATAGAAACGGAAGCTTTAAAAGGTACTGTATATATATGTTCATCTCTTTTGCCAAATTGATTACTGCTGTCCTTTTGTCATTGGGTACCGATTGAAAGTGGAGTTTACTTTTAACAACTTACAGGATTTGATTTGGGGGTTTAGAAGCTGAAATCAGGAAAATAGGAAAGGTACTCTGTGATGCATGATTATCTTTTGACCAGTTACCATGTTAAAAACATGTACAGTAATACTTCATTTATCTGGAGGCCTACCTTCTGGAAACCTTGCTGTTCAAAGAAGCAGCAAGCTCTCTTGGGAATTAAAGATTCAAGCTTTAAACACTGGTCACTAATAAAACTTGGAATATGCAAAGATTAAATCTCACATAATGGGATTGCTCTGTTTGCCGCTGATACGAAAACTGAAACACACTCATTGGTGATGGTTATGAAAGCCAAATTTCTTAAAGAGAAGTAGAAGACAAAAGGAGGAAAATCAGAATGAGAAGCAAAGAAACTAGCATTCAGAAGCAGCAGCAGCAGCAGCCATAGAACTTATAAGCAGTAGATGTCCTGACAAAAGGGAATTCGTTATGAGAAGGTTACTGGAAAATTAAAAGTGCGCTATCCCTATGGTAGCAAATAGCTGGCTCTCTACATCAGAAGTTACCTTTGGCATTGTTGTGATACACCAAGGTTATGTCATCTAGGAAGCTTTGATGTGGGGGCAGGGGGAGCAGAGTCTGTGATGCAACCCTAAGCCCACAATCTATCTAGAAGTGCTGAGATAAAGACATTTCAGTAGTGTAATTTGGAAGTCTAGAAGGAGTATGAATTAGAGTGGCTGGCTGACTCTTAGTCCTGCAGTCTGTACAATAATATAATAACTAATATCATAGTCACACTTTATAGTTTATAAAATGTTTCACACTTAGTATTTCATTTATTCTTATTTGTGAGGTATTCCAGTTTAATGAATGAAGAATCACTGGGTAATTTGCCCAATGGCAGTGACAAAGCCAAATTTAGAACTCGGATGTCCGGAGTCTTTGTCGATAATATTTTCAGCTCTAACATGTTGCCTCCAAAAGTTGGAAGGTAACTTATTAAAGCCTTCCTACTATTTATTTAATTTCTGTTATTATAAAAACAGGATGCGTGCATTGTAGAAAGTTACAAAATGCAGAAAAACAAAAATAAGAAAATTAAAACACATTCCTACAACTCATTAATCACCACTCTTAACACATTAATGTATGTCATTCCAGACATTTTTCTAAGCACATGTACATATGCATTTTGGTATTTTTTTTTCTCCCCACCTTCATTGGAGTATAATTGCTTTACAATGTTGTGTTAGTCTCTGCTGTACAACAAAGTGAATCAGCTATATGTATACATACATCCCCATATCCCCTCCCTCTTAAGCCTTCCCTCCCACCCTCCCTATCCCATCCCTCTAGGTCATCACAAAGCATCAACTTGATCTCCCTGTGCTATGTCGCAGCTTCCCACTAGCCATCCATTTTACATTTGGTAGTGTATATATGTCCATGCCACTCTCTGACTTCGTCCCAGCTTCCCCTTCTCCCCCTGTGTCCTCAAGTCCGTTTTCTACATCAGTGTCTTTATTCCTGCCCTGCCACTAGGTTCATCAGTACCACTTTTTTATATTCCATATATATGCATTAACAATACAGTATTTGTTTTTCTCTTTATGACTTACTTCACTCTGTATGACAGACTCTAGGTCCATCCACCTCACTACACATAACTCAATTTCATCCCTTTTAATGGCTGAGTAATATTCCATTGTATATATGTGCCACATCTTCTTTATCCATTCATTTAGGTTGCTTCCATGTACTGGCTATTGTAAATAGTGCTGCAATGAACATTGGGGTACATGACTCTTTTTGAATTATAGTTTTCTCAGGGTATATGCCCAGTAGTGGTATTGCTGGGTCATAATGGTAGTTCTATTTTTAGTTTTTTAAGGAACCTCCATACTGTTCTCCATAGTGGCTGTATCAATTTACATTCCCACTAACAGTGCAAGAGGGTTCTCTTTTCTCCACACCCTCTCCAGCATTTATTGTTTGTAGATTTTTTGGTAATGGCCATTCTGACAGGTGTGAGGTGATACCTCATTGTAGTTTTGATTTACATTTCTGTAATAATTAGTGATGTTGAGCAGCTTTTAATGGGCTTCTTGGCCATCTGTATATCTTCTTGGAGAAATGTCTATTTAGGTCTTCTGCCCATTTTTGGATTGGGTTGTTTGTTTTTTTGCTATTGAGCTGCATGAGCTGCTTGTATATTTTGGAGATTAATCCTTTGTCAGTTGCTTCTTTTGCAAATATTTTCTCCCATTCGGAGGGTTGTCTTTTCATCTTGTTTATGGTTCCCTTTGCTGTGCAAAAGCTTTTAAGTTTAATTGGTCCCATTTGTTTATTTTTGTTTTTATTTTCATTACTCTAGGAGGTGGGTCAAAAAGGATCTTGCTGTGGTTTATGTCATAGAGTGTTCTGCCTATGTTTTCCTCTAAGAGTTTTATAGTGTCTGGCCCTACGTTTATTTATTTTATTTTATTTTATTTTTAACATCTTTATTGGAGTATAATTGCTTTACAAGGGTGTGTTAGTTTCTGCTTTATAACAAAGTGAATCAGCTATACATATACCTATATCCCCATATCTCCTCCCTCTTGCATCTCCCTTCCACCCTCCCTATCCTACCCTTTAGGTCTTTAATCCATTTTGAGTTTATTTTTGGGTATGGCATTAGGGAGCATTCTAATTTCATTCTTTTACATGTAGCTGTCCAGTTTTTCCAGCACTGTTTATTGAAGAGGCTGTCTTTTTTCCATTGTATATTCTTGCCTCCTTTGTCAAAGATAAGGTGACCATATGTGTGTGGGTTTATCTCTGGGCTTTCTATCCTGCTCTATGGATCTGTATTTCTCTTTTTGTGCCAGTACCATACTGTCTTGATTACTGTAGTTTTTAGTATAGTTTGAAGTCGGGGAGCCTGATTCCTCCAGCTCCAATTTTCTTTCTCAAGATTGCTTTGGCTATTTGGGGTCTTTTGTATTTCCATACAAATTGTAAAATTTCTTGTTCTAGTTCTGTAAAAAATACCATTGGTAATTTGATAGGGATTGCATTGAACCTGTAGATTGCTTTGGGTAGTATAGTCATTTTCACAATATTGATTCTTCCAATCCAGGAGCATGGTATATCACTCCATCTGTTTATGTCATCTTTGATTTCTTTCATCAGTGTTTTATAGTTTTCTGAGTACAGGTCTTTTGCCTCCTCAGGTAGGTTTATCCCTAGGTATTTTATTCTTTTCTTTTTTTTTTTTTTGATGTTGGGGGTAGGAGTTTAGTAATTTATTTATTTATTTTTGCTGTGTTGGGTCTTCGTTTCTGTGCGAGGGCTTCCTCTAGTTGTGGCAAGCGGGGGCCACTCTTCATCGCATTGCACAGGCCTCTCACTATTGCGGCCTCTCTTGTTGCGGAGCACAGGCTCCAGACACGCAGGCTCAGTAGTTGTGGCTCGTGGGCCTACTTGCTCCACGGCATGTGGGATCCTCCCAGACCAGGGCTTGAACCCGTGCCCCCTGCATTAGCAGGCAGATTCTCAACCACTGCGCCACCAGGGAAGCCTGGTATTTTATTCTTTTTGTTGCAATGGTAAATGGGATTGTTTCCTTAATTTCTATTTCTGAACTTTCGTTTTTAGCGTATAGGAATGCAAGAGATTTCTGAGCATTAATTTTGCATCCTGCAACCTTACCAGATTCATTGATTAGTTCTAGTAGTTTCCTGGTGGCATCTTTAGGATTTTCTATTTATAATATCATGTCATCAGCAACAGTGACAGTTTTACTTCTTCTTTTCCAATTTGTATTCCTTTTATTTCTTTTTCTTCTCTGATTGCCGAGGCTAGGACTTCCAAAACTATGTTGAATGATAGTGGTGAGAGTGGACGTCCTTGTCTTGTTTCTTAGAGGAAATGCTTTCAGTTTTTCACCATTGAGAATGACGTTGGCTGTGGGTTTGTCATATGTGGCCTTTATTATCCTGAGGTAGTTTCCCTCTATGCCCATTTTCTGGAGAGTTTTTATCACAAATGGGTGTTGCATTTTGTCAAAAGCTTTTTCTGCATCTATTGAGATGATCATATGGTTTTTATTTTTCAATTTGTTAATATGGTGTATCACATTGATTGATTTGCATACATTGAAGAATCCTTGCATCCCTGGGATAAATCCCACTTGATCATGGTGTATGATCCTTTTGATGTGCTGTTGGATTCTGTTTGTTAGTATTTTGTTGCGGATTTTTGCATTTATGTTCATCAGCGATATTGGTCTATAATTTTTTTGTGTGTGTGATATTTGTCTGGTTTTGGTATTGGGGTGATGGTAGCCTCGTAGAATGAGTTTGGGAGTGTTCCTCCCTCCACAAATTTTTGGAAGAGTTTGAGAAGGATAGGAATTAACTATTCTCTAAATGTTTGATAGAATTTGCCTGTGAAGCCATCTGGTCCTGGACTTTTGTTTGTTGGAAGATTTTATTTACAGTTTCAGTTTCATTACCTGTGATTGGTGTGATTATATTTTCTAATTCTTCCTGGTTCAATCTTGGAAATTGTACCTTTCCAAGAATTTGTCCATTACTTCAGGTAGTCCAGTTTATTGGCATATAGTTGCTTGTGGTAGTCTCTTATGATCCTTTGTATTTCTGCGGTGTCAGCTGTAATCTCTCCTTTTTTGTTTCTCATTTTATTGATTTGAGTCCTCTCCCTTTTTTTCTCGATGAGTCTGGCTAAAAGTTTATCAGTTTTGTATATCTTCTCAAAGAACCAACTTTTAGTTTTATTGATCTTTGCTATTGTTTTCTTCATTTCTCTTTCATTTATTTCTGCTCTGATCTTTATGATTTCTTTCCTTCTACTAATTTTGGGTTTTCTTTGTTCTTTTTCTAGTTGCTTTAGGTGTAAGGTTAGATTGTTTATTTGAGATTTTTCTTGTT